TCCACTTGTAACATCGTCGTATATTTCCTTGATTACAGTGTCCCAACCATTAGTCACCCAGGCACGCTTTTTGGAGTAAAAACTTTCCAGCTTCTTTTCTACATCGCTCAATTGGCGGGTGAGTTTTTGCCTGGGCTCTTCGAATTCCAGTTGACTTCCCACTAATTTGAGGAATTCAACCTTCTTACGATCATCCCAAAAGAAAGGAAAATGCTGTAGGGAAGCCGCTGCCGGTCGTTTCTTTGACTCTGGTGAAAGCATGTTTTTGAGAAGATCAGAAGCTTCTGGTGAAAGAGAGGGACAGAAGCATCTTTTGTTCTTTAAAATATTCTTTTCTGTTTGTTGAGGATTTTTCATAAATGCCCCACCAGAAGTTAAGTTGAAGGGATGCTTCTTCTTCGACAGGACATAGTGGAAAAGGAGACCGCAGCTGAAAATATCAGAGGCTTCGCTATGGTTCTGAGGAGCCTTTCCCAAAAGTTCAGGGGCCATCCAACACCTTGTTCCAGCTTTGGAGTGCATCACAGACTGGCTTCCCCCTCTAGTTTTGGATGTCTGCAGGATCTTACTGAGCCCAAAATCACTAATTTTAACGGAAAAACTTGGATTCGTTTTATACAAAATGTTTTGTGGTTTCAAATCCCTGTGGAGAACACCTTTCTTATGTAAAAACTCTATGCCAGAGGCAATGCTTAGACAGATGGTAAACGCCTCCTCGCATTCTTGATCACAACGGAGATACGCATCTAAAGAACCTTCCATGAGTTCTACAACTATGTACTCAAAATTAGCATCACTAGTGCAAGTGATGTAATTGATCACCATAGGGCAATTCGATAACTCTTGCAAGCACCTGACCTCTCTTTCAAGCACAACACCTTTCTCCACTAAACGTACCTTTTCCAGGCGTTTTAGGGCTACTTCTCTGCCATCTTTGCCATTCACACCAGGAAAAACGACCGAAAATGAACCTTCTCCGATTGGATTCTCGTGGTGGTAATAATTTTCCACTTTCCGAAACTTCGTGCCCCGCACAACTTGGGACAAGACAGCATTATGCTTGACCGATCGCTGAAACCATTTTATTTTGCTGGGAATGTTTACCTTTTCGATGTCTTCATCAATAAGTTTCTGCAGGCACTCATTCCCATTGAGAAACGCCTTACATGAGTCTCCATTGACATCAAGTAAGTTCACATCAGCATGGTACCTCCGGAGAAGACGAATGCAATTTTCAATGTGCTTGGAAGTCAAGAAGCCACTTCGTCCTGCCGTACGGCATATCTTATGCAATGGTGTTTCCTTACACTCGTTTTGAACATCAACGTCACATCCCTTTTGCAGCAAATACTCACAGATCGAAAGGGCACTTTCGTTGTCTTGAATGCACAGGATATGTAGAAGTGAGTCTCCTTTCAGATCTTTGTAACACCTTGCAGATTCGGCCAAGGTTCTATAACGGTCGTCTTCAAAAATTACCTTCAGGAGATTAAAAGCACTTTCAAAAAACTCTTCCTCTAAAAGGACTTTAAATGGGCATTTTCCGTCATTGCTTACGCACCAAGGATCCATTTGCAAAGCAAGGAAGTTCTTCCAATGATTTTCCTCGACGTCATCTCCAATTAGGGAACCTTCTCCAATGAACTTATGAAAGGGTGTTTCTCCATTAAGGTCTTGCACATTTAACTGTGCGCCTCTTTCCACCAAGACCTCCACCTGTTCCCAACACCGTGCAAGATGCAGTGGAGTTTTGCCTTTGTCGTTTCTTGCATTGACAGCTCCTCCGCAAGAGATGATTTGCTTACCAATTGCAACTGCCTCGGCACTGACTGCCTCGCTCGGCAAGCTTGCCCATAGATGTAGGGCAGTGTTCCCCTCGGCATCTCTAGAGTTGATTTCAAATCCACTTTTCTGCAAGAAGTGGAGACCTTCACAAACCATGGCAAGACATTTTGGAGCCTGGACTGAGTCTCCGTCTTTCAAAAACTTGAAGAGCAAATGAAGGAGCGATCTGTCCATTTCGTCTTTGGCGTTTGCCCTTGCTTTAGCGTCCAAAAGAAGACGCCAGACTTCTATAGCTTGGGTCCCATTGTGAAGCGTAGACGTCGAGGGAAGTAAGTCATGACACATCACCTTGGAACAGAATTCACAAGACTGAAACTGCGATGACAAACTAAATAAAAGTGGAGTTTCACTACGATCATTTCTAGCGTTTGGGTTAGCATTGCTGCAGAGCAGGAAGTTAATGAATTCATTCCAGTTCTGTGGTGAGGCGCTCATAAGAGCTTTTTCTACCGCGTGGAAGAGGCCAGTACAACCTAACTGATCTTTTTCGTCAATTTTGGCTCCCTCTTGCATTAATAATGCCGCCATCTGTATACTTGGCATGGAAAACATGAGGTATGGATAACCACCAATTCTTCCGTTAGCTGGACACTGGGTTTCTTCCATCAAAATTTGCACTGCCTGGCGAATTACGTTCTCGTCCCAGCAAGGAAAAGCTAAAAGAACGCCTCGTTCCGTACACTCTGGCAATTTCTGCAAAAGACCTTCCAGAAGTTCCTTCTTAAAGACATTGTCGTTGTTTTCATAAAATGTTCGCAGAAGCGCCATCAGATTGCAAACTTGTGCTTTGTGTGAGTTCCTCACCTTCTGCAGTACATCTTTGTTAGACGTTAGAGCTTCTATAGGGTGGTCAAAATTCTTTAAACCACTTTTTGGCAGGATGAGAAGTTGAATCAGGCGTGAGGGACTTATGAACAGGTTGCTTTCGCTTCTAAACAGCTCTGCAATTTCAATGCGGTGCAGTACAATGGCCAACTCTAGCGAAGTTTGAAGAAAGTCATTGTAGATGTTGTTGCCATCACCAATTTCTTTGTATGCAAGCAGCTGTTTTACCATCTCTTTGTCCCCAAGGAGTGTAGCGGAATGCAGAGGAGACCAGCCATGACAATTAGTATAAGGTGAAATTGAATTGCTGGCCAGAAGTTCTCGGATTTTTGCAACAGCATCTGTACAGTTCAAAATAAACGAAGGATCTAGATAATCAATTACTTTAACCTTGGATTGGTAATTACTTATGTTCGTGAGATTGTTCCCGAACAAATCTACGCAGCCCGTTAAGTCCACATGGCGAAGTTCAGGACAAAACCAGCAAAGGATATCCAGTACTCCGAAACGCCACGTCGTCACCGTATCGTCAATGATGGTACTCCTTCTGAGAACGGCTGTGGAAGCATTCCTTGCTTGCAAACACTCTGCAACTAGATCCTGACAAGATGTTATGCGTGTGTTCGAAAGATCAAGGTCACGGTGTTGTACTTCATGTGGAGAGATAGTAAAACCGGCCCCCACGACCAATTCAAGGTCCACCTGAAAAATTTTGGAGTCGTTATCAATGAACTCTTCGATGCCATGTGATCCGTATTCAGTTTCCTTGACAATGTCATGTAGAGTGCTGAAACTGCAACCTGTTCTTTCTTTAAATAAGTTCTCCATTTCTTCAACTGTCATCGACTGTTTACCGGAGGCTTTTAAGATATCCAACAACAGTTCGTCAAGTATGAAGAGAAAACTATTTTCCTGCAAGCAATTTACAAATACCAGAACAGTGTATAGACAATATATAGCGATATTTTATCAGCAAATGATGCATGTTCAGATTTGCTGAGTATTTAAGCCATACAGGGGATGCTTAAACTTTTTAAGCTGAATCAGAGCATTTTCGACGGGAAAGAACTTATTTTCGGGTAGAAGTTTCCGTCCAAAAACCTCAGAACCATCATTAACAACTGGATAACTGTTGAAATGTTGTCTGACAGAAATTCAAGACAATTAAAGCCGATTGCTGCATTATAGATTCCACCTTTAGTATTCCAGCGATCTACTTTCCTGTAGAGCTCGCATTAAATAAATACTTTTCGCATCCACATATCGGATTAAATTTTACTGTACTTACTGCTGTATCTCGATCACGGGAAAAAAGCTCTTCCTGTTCTCCTGCAATTAACGATTAAAAGAATCACTTCAAATCTGTATTGTTTTGCAAATCGTGATTAAGATATTTTTTTCCAAAAGTAAGCGATTTATCTTGGAGGGGCATGATAGACGTTGAACTACCATAACGTCAGCACTTCTCACACCATGGCACCACAATGATAAGTTGCTTAACAACCAATTCAAAGAATTCCTCAGAGATTGGATTTCGATTAGGAAAAGTACATACCTGACACTTCCAATCCCATTTCCAATTCGTCGCACAAGTTTTCAAGATCAAATAGCTCATCATTTTCCACTTCAAAAAGTGAAGAGGAACTCTCTGAGTCATCATCTCTTGCAAGTCCTGTGTTAAAAAAAGTTTATGTCAGAGACAAAATTAGCAAAGCATATAATAAGTACTCTAATAGAAATCGGTAGCTTAATATCAATTGTTATAAGGCTGGCTCAGCACTTCTCGAACCATGCATGGCACCCAAGATGATGTAATGCCAACAACTTCTTCAATGAAACAATTCCCAGGAATAAGATTTCGATAAGAAAAGTGAATGTTCCCTGAATAAGGAATGATGAAGCCTACCTGAAACTTCCAATTCGTCGTAAGAGTTTTCATGAGCAGATGACTTATCACTTTCCAGCTCAAAAAGTGAAGAGGAACTCTGTACGTTATCACCTCCTCCGAGTACTGTGTTAACAAATAATATGTAAGACTTCCCTTATTTAAACAATTAAAGATATCTTTCTTTCAGAGATAATATTCACGGAGCATCAGTAATCTATCACAAATTAGTAGCTTAATATCATGCATTGTTTTTAAAACTTCTTACCTATTTCTGATTGAAACCAATCAACATCCACTAAAAGCAGAATGTAGTACATTGATAGTAGAAAAGTATGAAGACATAGCTTCAGTCAATAAAAGTAACAACCGGGGAAGAGGTGGGGGGAGTTTTACAGCCAGGTACGTTTTCAGTGGTGTATCCAGACCTTGAGCTAAAGAGGGGGTTGGGGACGGTTTTGCTTTGCTTACCCTGCCGGCTTTTCTTCCTTCTGTGATTTTTTTTCTTTTTTTACCCAAAATAAAGGGAGGGCCGGGCCTTCGGGCCCCTCCCCTAGATCCGTCGCTGGTTTTAATAAGAGTTGAATCTTTCACAAGATTAGCAGAAGCATCCACTACATGCAGAGTAAAATTTCTTCTGAAAAACGTCTAACGTTTATTGAAAAAGCACTCTATTCAACTGCATGGGCCTTCCTCATGGGCGGATTCATGGGAGAGTTCCGGGAGGAGGGAAGTCATTCGCAGCGAAACGTTTCATCTGCAATCCGCGAACTTTTTTAATAACAATGGAATCTCTCAGGAATTGGATAATTGAAGAAACGGAAATCTATTACAAAACATAGGTCAACCGACATAGCTTAATATCATGGAGTGAGTTGCCAAATTGTTACCTGATTCCGGTTGAAACCAATCAACTTGGTCCTCGACATCGGTGACCTCTTCTTCATCGCCATCCACTAAAGCAGAGGATAGTTACTTTTGTAAAACGTCTTACATTTTTTGGAGAAAATTAAGACATCTTATTTTTGGTGATTGCGCAGTGGCACACGAGGGTCTTTTACAACGAACTCAGTGGATGAATTCATGCGAAAGTTTCTTTTGTCAGGTAGACATTTTTGATAAATGTGGAAACTTTCAGAGATACAATTACGGAACCAACAGCAATCTATAAGAAACTAGGAGTTTTATGTTATGCATGAAATCACTTGTAGGACATTTTCACCAGATTTCTGAGTTGAGACCAATCAACTCGGCCCTCGCTCTTTGTGGCTTATTCTTCCTAACCGTCTACTAGAACAGAGGAGAATCGCTACTCAGGCAAAAAGGAAAGGCCTCACACTGGTTTTTGGCAGAATAGTACCACGACATATTTTTAATCAGTCGTTGTTCCACAGACCTTTCCAAGGTATCGTTTGCAACCAGAGTGGATCTATTTGAGTATGAGGGTTGGGGTGAAACTTTTAACCATTTATTACGAGACTCCTCCTGCATAGAAGCAAGTCTGAACGGGTTATGGGTAGAAATGTTTTGTCATCAACAGCGTTTGGGTGAAATAGATTAAATTCTCTTTGGCAGTACTTAGTGCTGGATCATCATGGTAGTCTTATTAAGCCGGCTACTAAGCCGACCAAATCACACCGGACCCATTGCATTCAGCGAATGACAAACTGCCAATCCATGTCCACTCATCCATTCCGCTGTAAGAAACCCAAATTGATTTTACTTTTACTCACTGTTTGGTTCGTCTTCGTCTTTGTCTCTTGAACTGCTTGCTGTCGGAGTATTTTCCTCTGACGTTCTGTTCTGACTTTCTTCGTTGACAAGCTACAATTGAACAGAAAAGGAAAACATAGCCTATAATAAGCTTAAGAAACAAAGCAAGGATTACAAAAGAATGGTCTGCATACGAGCCATAATCAACCCTGGATGGGATCCAAGTCCATCGCAGGGTTACCTCCAGCATTAAATTCGCCGGTACCCATTTATACACCTGGGTGGAGAGAGGCACTGTGATATTAAATTGTCTTACACAATGTCCCCGTCCAGGCCTTGAATCNCGCAGGGTTACCTCCAGCATTAAATTCGCCGGTACCCATTTATACACCTGGGTGGAGAGAGGCACTGTGATATTAAATTGTCTTACACAATGTCCCCGTCCAGGCCTTGAATCCGGATATGATTTCCCGCCCTTATTTTACTAGTCCATTTTAATGTCGACAAGCATGAAACAAAACCATTCAGGCACATGTACGGGTCCAGAGGTCAAAAGTACATACAAGTTTTGATCGCATATTAAAATAAGGTCTACGATATAAAAGTTAAAAAACTAAATAGAATAGCGCGCATAATTTCAATACAGGGCTACCTACAGCTGTACTGGCATCCGCATCGTCATCGTTTGCATTGCTAGCTTGCACGGTCTGCTTTTTCTTCTTTTTCTTCTTTTTCTTTTTACAGGAAGGTGCCTTTTCTACGACAGTGGTTTTTGCTGAGCCATTTTCCTTAAACAGACAAGTACCACGTGTAAGGTGAACCAACTCTGAGTCTGTGGCAGATCAATATATAAACTAACTGTATCTACACAGGCATGAATGAGTTTTGCATTGCAGCATTACATCTCCAATTAACTATTCACGCATGTGGTCTTAATTCGGTCTTATTTGTTTAAGTAACGATACCTCATCGTTTGCTTCTGTTGTAGGTAAGGGATGCTTCTCTTTACTGTGTTCAGATCGCATGTGTTCAGCCATTTTCTGATACTACATAAACATACAGAAAAGCATAGGCCGTAAGTAGGCTACTGGTATGAATATTAACTTTGCCAGTCACAAACACGTTGATGAACTTCAACTTAGTTGAGTCCCAGTGAAGACACTGCTGATACAAGCACGAATTACAAATCATTAAGAACCCTATAGATGAGTCTTTTAATTGGGCCTTTTNAAAAAACTAAATAGAATAGCGCGCATAATTTCAATACAGGGCTACCTACAGCTGTACTGGCATCCGCATCATCATCGTTTGCATTGCTAGCTTGCACTTTCTGCGTTTTCTTCTTTTTCTTCTTTTTCTTTTTACCTGAAGGTGCCTCTTCTACGACAGTGGTTTTTGCTGAGCCGTTTTCCTTAAACAGACAAGTACTACGTGTAAGGTGAACCAACTCTGAGTCTGTGGCAGATTAATATATAAACTAACTGTATCTACACAGGTATGAATGAGTTTTGCGTTGCAGTTTTCTTACATCTCCAATTAACTGTTCACGCACGTGGTCTCAATTCAGTCTTATTTGTTTAAGTAACGATACCTCATTGTTTGCTTCTGTTGTAGGGTCTTCTGAAGTTGTAGGTAAGTAAAGCTTCTCTTTGCTGTGTTCAGATCGCATGTGTTCAGCCATTTTCTGATACTACATAAACATACAGAAAAGCATAAGCCGTAAGTAGGCTACTGGTATGAACATTAACTTTGTCAGTCACAAACACGTTGATGAACTTCAACTTAGTTGAGTCCCAGTGAAGACACTGCTGATACAAGCACGAATTACAAATCATTAAGAACCCTATAGATGAGTCTTTTAATTGGGCCTTTTGTACACCATTCACGTCTCCCTCGCCAACACCACCTTATCAAATTCAATCCCACACCCAAAGCAATTGGCAAAACATTCTGAGAGTCTTTCTCGCCATAATACGATAATACGAGAGCTGGGNTCCCATATAAAAAGACGAGGGTGCTCGTCGGAAATTTTGAAAAGAACCCCTAAGAGGTACCAAGATCCTGTTTTGTGGGCGTGGTTTGAGATGTTTTTCACCCCTAAGGGGCACCGATTCTAATACAAAACACTACCTCCGGTCATAATGATTTCGGTTCAATAACCTAAAAGGAACCGCAAAAGCTCCTGGTGGGGGACCTTTTGAGGCTGAACACTCTAAGAGGTACCAAAACCGCTTTTTTTAACCCCTAAGAGGTACGACAAGCACCCTCGCCCTTTTTACATGGGTTCCCCCGCCCGGAATGTTCTACCGTCACCGCGAAGCTTTGAAATTAAATTTGGCCCTCAAAAACGCCTTTTCAGTTCTTAACTATAGAGAAACGTTTTCGTTACAATTTCCATTGAATGTCATGGTAAATGAGCCGCTTCTAAGCGGGTAAATCCACGCATAAAGATGGCTCTATTACTGCACTTGAGAATGAACCGAATCTAACGCACCGCGGATTTTTGCGAACCATGTTATTGATTTCACTATTACGAGAGGTTGCGCCTTTCTACTTCCGGGTCTTGGTTCATTATCAGTCATAGCTGATTGCATCCTTTGCAGTGACAGGATCTGAAACCTCTATTTTGTTTCACTTGAGAATGAATTTACGATGTAAATAGTTTGGCCAGCTCGCGCCGAGGCTAAAATTTATTAACGAACCGGTTCTGGCTCGATTCGATCGATCGATCGACTCGACACAGTAGTAAAATTTGCAGCCACTTTATAGCTATATTATCTATATACAGACTTTACGAAAAACAGAACTGGTTTCACACAATCTTAGGAGTGCTCGATACAAATACAAGCAGAGCAAACCTTAAATACGAATTAAGTTAAAAACTACAGTTACTCGAGTTTCACACTTGAAGCGATCATCAGACTGATGATCGCTTTAAGTGTGAAACGCGAGTAACTGTAGTGTCTATCTTAATTCGTATGTACAGACTTAAATTGTCTATCGGGAAACTGACTAAAATTATGTCTGCCTCCCTATACTGTTCCAAAGAACCCACACAAATGAAATCACTGATCAAACCATATACTTCTAAATGTTCATTCTAGGCGTCGAGATTATAAAGATCTTTGGCAACATGTAAGAAACAAATTCAAGTTAATGAATCTTCAAGTTGATTACACACTTACCAGCACGACGGTTTCTTTCAAACTTGAAGAAATCTATCTTCTGATACATCCTTATAGAAAAACCTTTACAATTTTCGTTGATTTTCAGAAGAATTGTCATTTATCACTAATAATTCCGAGAACTCGGATTTCTTAGAATTTTAAAGGGCATGCGCTTTCAACCTTTGCGTGTTCAGATCGTGTGTCTCGAAAGACTCCGCCAAACGACTGGGCTCTAGGTCGTAATCACGCGATTTGTCACATGACCAGGTGCTCAAGATTCATTCACGCTTAAATTTGAGCGGGAATTTTAACACGAGCTAACGGATTTTCAGTTATCTTGATCTGAATTCAATTTTATAGGTCTTTTCTTTGCATAATAGTGTCAATATAGTGTGCAATTAACTTCTAACTGAAGACTGGAGGCGAGGGTCTTTTAGAAATACGCGTGCCGATTGCCATCCGCAGTGAAGCTTCCATCATTCACTGGGGACACTAGAAGGTAGGCACTGAAAGACTTTATTTCGTTGTGTTTTACAGATGAGTTCCCTTAATTTACGGAAAAATAAAAGCCGAAATTGAGGATGGCTTTGTCGCAAGCCAATTGTTTTCCTTAGGGCGCTTCCGCCCAAAGGGATTAATTGACAACCGCACGCGACACACTTCCTATTCACTGGCATTACTTATTTTGAGGGTATGTCGTATTGTACTTCAGTTTCTATCAATCTCGTAGCGGTCACATCGTTTTTCTACCTCGTGTAGTTTTTATCCCACCCACCCTAGGCGGCAGAGGTTTATTTCTCAGTTTTTATGTTCCATGATTTACCTCGTGTCTTCGGATGTGGAAATAAACTTCTATCTTAGCTTGGCCAAGCACAAACAGTGTTGTTTATGTGTTATTGGCGGGGACAATTGCGGACTAAATAAGGAGAGCGAGAGCCAAGTTGGCCGTGGTCACTTTCAANGCCAAAACGTCTTCCAAGTCTTGATGGAGAGAGGTAAATTCCATGATTTGAAAACTGTGATCGACGCAAGCATTAACAACGACAGAGAATCTATTCTTACAACTGACAGTAAGGGTAACAGCCTTTTACACAGTTTGTGTAATCACAACGACTCTAGGGTGATTCCATTGATCGATGTTCTACTTAAACGCGGTGCTGTGGTGAATGGACAGAATATGAATGGTGACACCGCCCTTCATATTACCTGTAGGAGAATAGTTAGTCTACCCCAGCGAAAGAGCGACAATTGTGTGCTTCGAAAAGCTGTTTCCAAGCTTCTTGCTTATGGAGCAGACTGTAACTTAACAGACAGAAGAAAGGTTACAGCAAAAAACATTGCACGGCTGGACAAGAAGTTATGGAAGGCCCTTGGTAGAGATGTACGCCAACAAGAGCCACAACCTATTTACCCATGGAAGGAGCAATCGCAAAACCATCATGGGCTGCTGTCTGCCGCTGCCAGGGGACAGAACTGCCAGAAAATTTGGAACTACAGCTACAATCTTCAGCCAATTGGCTCGGGTTCATTTAGTAACGTATTCGCAGGGATTAATGTCGAGGACGGTCGAGAGGTCGCCCTGAAAAGAACTGACCCGTACCGATTGAAAACTCGGCAAGACGATAGAGAAGTAAGCAGTCTTCTCGAGCTGACAGATTGTCCTCATGTTGTGAGGTACATCCATTTTAAAAGAGAGGTTGATTTCACTTGGATCGTTTTAGAACTGATGGAGGGTACGTTGGACGACCTTCTACTTCAGGGAATCGCTCAAGATGTATTTCCAACGCTTTGCATGGATCTCCTGCAGGGAGTCGCGTATCTCCACCGCCACAAAATCTTGCACCGAGATCTCAAGCCCAGCAATGTCCTGTACTCAGGTGTACCCAAGCCATGTCTCAAGATTGCTGACTTTGGACTCAGCAAAAAGCTCGGCGCTGTCCAGGGATCAAGTGTTCTCCACAGCAATGCTGGCTCCAGATTCTGGATGGCCCCTGAGCTGCTGTTGTCAACGGGACACTTACAGCACACCTATGCTTCCGATGTGTTTGCTTGCGGTCTCATAATCCATTACATGCTGGCTGAGAGGCGTCACCCATTTCAAGGAAGTACCTCTCATGGCTGCCTTTCAATTGCTGATTGGAATGCGGTTGAGGCTAACATCTTAACCGGTAGCAAAACGCTGGGTCCAGATCTTTCTGATGAAGGTAAGGACGTACTGGCACGTTTACTAAGTCATGACAGCAAGGACCGGCCAAAGGCATCAGACGTTCTGAAGCGTCCTTTCTTTTGGTCCCAGGACAAAAAGGTTCGGTTCGTTCGTGCAGTGGCTAATCAAAGTGAAATTGGCACTTTTGGGGCATGGGGAACTACGCCTTCTCCAGTAGAGTGGGAAATCGAAACCAACTTGGCGTCTTTGTTCCATCCTAGATGGGATTCCCTTTTTCCAGCCTTGTACGCCGAAATGACATTAAGCTCAAAAGGACGCCCCTATAACACATCATCAGGTGTACATCTTGTGAGATTCATCCGGAATGCCTATGCCCACGTTTCAGATCGATCCCGACCGACCAGTTTTCAGAAACTCCTTCTGGAAGATCGGATCTTCTTTAACAAATTGCCGAGTCTTTTTATGGTGATCTTTAAGGCCGTGGAAAACGGTAACTGGCAAACATCTCGAGAAGAGATTAAATCCGTCATAAATTCAGATGACTAGATTCTTTGTAGCGTCATGGAGAAGTTTGGTTTACAGAGACCGAGTTCATTAAACAATTAAACAGTTGTGTACATTCAGTGAAGGGGAATGCTCAGTAACAGTCTTCATGTCCACTGCCACTAAACTTCTATAACGGGATTTTAAGAACTCTCTGATCAAGCAACCCAGAATTGATTGATGATATAATGATGGTGGTTGTTGCTAACGGTCTTCACGTCTTCTTGAAAGCCTGTAACAATACTTGTGTGACGTGCGTTACGTTACAGCCTCATCTTCAAACACGAGGGGAGGTACGAAGTTGAATTTGTTGTAGTCGTCTCACGGAATATGGCAAATATCACCTCGACCTTGCTATATAGTGGCACTGTAATGGAGGAAACGTCGAACAGTGACTTTTGCCCTAGTTGTTTTCCCTTCAGACC